CAGGAGCTGCTGGCCAGGTCATGCGGTGAAGTCCTGGGTGGCCAGGTTGAAGACATTGCTCTCCATGGACCGTGTCCACTCGCCCCAGCTCCTCCTGACCTCGGCCTGGACCTGCGCCAATGTCACGGGTGGGGCTGGCACTTGGGGACACCGGGCAGTGTCCAGCTGGGGACAGGAGTGGCCCTGAGGGAGCTGGGAGGGGGCAGAAAGAGGGGAGGACTGTCCCTGTGCCCAGGAGTGGCTTTGGGGCTCCCTTGGGGCGTCCTCGGGGCAGGAGGTGTGGGACCTGTCCCTGTGTCCCTTGGGGCTTTGGGGCTCCCTCCGGGTGTCCCTGGGGGTGGGGGGACCTGTCCCTGTGCCCAGGAGTGGCTCTGGGGCTCCCTCAGGGTGTCCCTGGAGGTGGGGGGACTGTCCCTGTGCCCAGGAGTGGCTTTGGGGCTCCCTTGGGGCGTCCTCGGGGCAGGAGGTGTGGGACCTGTCCCTGTGTCCCTTGGGGTTTTGGGGCTCCCTCCGGGTGTCCCTGGGGGTGGGGGGACCTGTCCCTGTGTCCCTTGGGGCTTTGGGGCTCCCTCAGGGTGTCCCTGGAGGTGGGGGGACCTGTCCCTGTGCCCCCTTGGGGCTTTGGGGCTCCCTCAGGGTGTCCCTGTGCCTGCTGCGGGGTCGGGGTGGGGATGCCCGCTCACCTCCCCGTTGAGGAAGCAGTAGAGCAGAGCCACCAGGAAGCCCTGGAGAGGACAGGAAGGGCCATTGTCACCTCCAGGAAGGGACTGGACCCCTCCAAGCTCCTCTGGAGCCTTCCCCGATCTCCTCCTGCCCCTCTGAGCCACCCCAGCACAGAGGAAACGGGCGCTGGGTACCCCAGGCCCTATCCCAGCTGTTCGGGGGCACCTTCTCCATAAAACCCCACATCCCGGGTGGGATTTCGGGTGGCACCACAGGGTTTTCCCTGCTCATCTCACCTGGTAGGAGCCCAGCACCAGCTCGAAGTAGAGCCGGGCGTCCAYGCCCACGTGCTCAGGGAACAGCGCAAACACCACGTAGTGCACCCCGAAGAGCGGGATCAGCAGCAGTGTGGACTTGGTCAACCTCCTGCGGGCAGGGAGCGGGGTCTGGGGGTCCTGMTGCCCCYGAGACCTCCCCAGGGTCACCTGTGAGACCTCCCCAGGGTCACCTGTGAGACCTCCCCAGGGTCACCTGTGAGACCTCTCTGAGGTTTCCTATGACACATCCCGAATGCCCCCCTGAGACTACCCCAACATCCCCCATGACACTTCCCCAATGCCCAGGGTCCCCCCTGAGACCTCCCAAAGGTCCCCTGTGAGATGTCCCCAATGTCCCCCATGGGACCCCAGGATTCCCCAGAGACCTCTCCAGGGTCCCCCATGACACCTCCTCAAGATTCCCCATGGGACCTCCCCAAGGTGCTCCCTGAGGTCACCTGTGACATCTCCCCAACATCTCTGACACGTCCCCAAGGTCCCCCCAAAACCTCCCCAAAGTCCCCATGGCACCTCCCCAGAGGCCCCTGTGAGACGTCCCCAAGGTCCCCTGTGACATCTCCCCAACATCCCCCCTGGGATGTCTCCAACGTCTCTGTGACACTCCACAGGGTCCCCCTGAAACCTCCCCGAGGCCACCTATGAGACCTCTCCAAGGCCACCTGTGATACCTCCCCAAAAGACCTCCCCAGGGTCCCCCCTGAGACATCCCCAAGATCCCCTGTGACACCTCCCCAATGTCCCCCATGGGATCTCCCCAAGGTCCCTCTGAGACCTCCCCAAGGAGGAGCAGACCCTCTCCTCCTTTCMTGGAGAACCTCCTTTGGGTGAGAACCAACCCCAAGCAGGTTCTCCATGGAAAGCAGGGCTTGGAGGCTYCAGGACTGTCCCCTGCGCTCCTCCAGGGAGGGTCCCTGGGTGGGGACAGCCCTGTCCCCGTACATGAACTGCTGCTTGTGGGTCCTGCTGAGCTCGGGGCAGCGGATCTTGTGCGCCAGCATCCTGGTGACGTTGAGGAAGATGAGGAAGTTCACCTGGACCAGAAGGCACAGCTCAGCCCCTGCCCAGGTGCCCCGGTCCCTGTGGGGTGGGGCTCTTAGGGGACACACTCACAAATATGGCCAGGAGGATGGGAGCCTTGATCAGCCACCAGGACGGGCTGGAGTAGTCATCCCAGCACCTGTGGGACAACAGGGACGGGATGGGGTGGGATGGGATGGGATGGGATGGGATGGGGTGGGATCCATAGGATAGGATGGAATCCATAGGACGGGATGAGATCCATAGGATGGGATGGGATGGGATCCATAGGATGGAATGGGATCCATAGGATGGGATGGAATCCATAGGATGGAATGGGATCCATGGGATGGGCTGGGATCCATGCCCACTCTAGCCCGCACAGGGACCCCTGTGGCCCTGCTTTCCCCCTGCCACCCCTTTGACCACCCTGTGCCTCCTTCACGCTCCCTTGCCACGGGACCCACCAAAAATGAGAAATAACATTTAAATATTTAAATGACGYCCTGGCCCTCCTGCGCTTCCCATGCCAAGGGTTCCTCCCTGAGGACCCGGACAGTGACACAAGGCTGAGGTGGCCGGGGGGAGGACAAGGGAGGCCGAGGTGGCCTGGGGGGAAGAAGGGACACCCACTCTCACCCGTGGTTGTCGTAGCGGAGCCTGGCGAGCACCCACAGCCCGACGGCGGCCATGGGGACACCTGCGGGGAGGGGACACAGGCAGGGAGGATCCCTCAGTGTGCACACAGCCCCTGTGCCACCCCACTCCCTCGTCCCCACAGGGTCGTTGTGGATGTGGCAGGAAGGGGACAGCCCTGCCACCTTCTCCAGATTCTAAAGGTGCTGGCGCCCATGGATGGTGCTGTGTCACCTCCTGCCACCCTCCTGTCCCCTCTCACCCCCAACCCCGCCTGGATGGGTGTCCCCAGCCCCAGGTGGGTATGGTAGAAGGGAAGGGTTGTCCTGGATCAGGCCACGCTGCCCCAGTAGCTCCGRGGGCTGGCAGTGACCACCAGGGACATACAGGGACATGCTGGAGTGGGGACATGCTGGGAGCAGCCTTGGGGACCTCTAGCCAGGGGGGTCTCAGGTCCGGCCATGGCCGTGGCCTGTCCAGGGATGTCCAGGGGTGTCTGGGGCTGTGTGGGGGTGACCAGGGGTGTCCAGGGATGTCCGGGGGTGTGCCAGGGCTGTACCAGGGGTGTCTGGGGCTATGCTGGGGGTGTCCAGGGTTGTTCTGGGGATGTCCGGGGATTTCCAGGGGTGTCCAGGGCTGTGCCAGGAGTGTCCAGGATTGTCCAGGGCTGTGCCAGGAGTGTCCAGGGGTATCTGGGGATGTGCCAGAGCTGCACCAGGGGTGTCCAGGGGTGTCTGGTGTGGGGGCCCAAGGCCATGCCAGGGGTGTCCAGGGGTGTCCAGGAATCTGCCGGGGGTGTCCAGGGCTGTCCGGGGCTGTCCAGGAGTGTCTGGGCCTGTGCCAGGGCTGTGTCTGGGTTGACCAGGGGTGTCCAGGGTTGTCCAGGGGTGTCCAGGGGTGTCTGGGAGTGTCCAGGGGTGTCCAGGCCATCCCCATGCCCACCCCAGCCGATGAGGACGTAGCCCCAGGTGTAGCTGTGCTCGCAGGTGAAGGTGAGCAGCAGCAGCGTCTGCAGGTACAGCCCCTCCACCAGCAGCCAGCAGAAGTTGGCCAGCACCGAGTACTGGAAGAAGGTGATGGCAGCTTTGCAGGTGACCTGCAAAAGGAGAGGGGACAGCTCAGGGGACACGGGGGATTGCCAGCTCAGAGGGTGCCAGAGTTCTGGGGACACAGAGAATTATCACCTCACAGCTCGGGGGGCACCTGAGTCCTGGGGACATGGGGGATTGTCACCCTACAGCTCAAGGGGCACCACAGCCTGTCCTGGGACACAGGGAATTGTCACCCTCAGCTCAGGGGGCACCTGACCCTGCTCTGGGGGTACAGGGCATTGTCACCCTCCCTGCACACCCCCTTGAGGACACCTGTGGTGACCTCTCAATGGTGACCTTGCAGTGGTGACTTTTCAGCAGTGACCCCCCAGTGCAGTCCCACAGACCCTGCCCCGGTCCCCCACGTCACCCGTGACAGGTTCTGCCCTGCCTGTGCCACACGGGTGGGTGAGCATGGGCTGGTGACCAGAGGCTGCTTTTGTAGGACCTTTAAAAACTGTCTGGGGTCACGCCCGTGGGGTTCATCTGCACTCAGGAGCTTCTGTTTTGGTTGGAAACTCCAAATCTGGGTGTGACCTGGTGCTGCTGGGGCAGAGCTGAGCTGGGGACAGCACTGGGGACAGCACTGGGGACACTCAGCCTGAGACCAGGGGAGCTGCGAGGGCAGAACAAGTTCTGTGCACACAG